TAGATTTTCCCGGAAGATAATTTTGTGTAAGTACGGGGAAGGTATTAAGTCGTCTAGTGTGCGCAGTTTTAACGACACTAAACCTCTATAGCTAATGTCCAAAGCTCCCTGCTAGTTTTAGTGCAGTAGACCACTAAGGTGTTCTGCCAATTTTTGCCTGATTGCGGGAAGTTATCACCCGTTTTACCCTCCTCCAATAACCGTGCGTAATACCGCCCAGCGCTGTACTGACGTAGCACAGGGACCCAATGGTCCTGGATAATGCTATCTGAGAAATCAGTATGAAGGATAGCTTGTCCTCAAGAAATTTCTTCAACGGTAGACACGTGGGGTGTAGACCATTTATGCTAATCCGCTCTATGGGTTAATAGCATAGTTTATATGTCATCTGCTTAACCCATGTCCACTTGCAGTGTGCGCAGTTTCATGGGTGCCTTTGTAGGTTTGTTGTGTGATTGCACTGATAACACGACTCGTCTGCCATATCGCTATTCCAAACACTCATTTTATATTTATCGGGGATTTTATTTTTTCCCTGTACCTTAGACTGCAAATTTGGGCGCATATTGGGAATGAAGCAAACAAGTTGGTTGCTTTTGTCTTAGCCTTTTCCCGAACAAGGTATGAAGGCTCAGGTGATCGACAGTATTTGAGATTTAGTTGTGCAAAGGTAGCATGTGGGGTGGTATATTCTGCTTTGTGCGGTCAGGGAAACACCCGTGGACAATTAACTTGGTTTCAGACCTAATAAGCGCCCTGTGAACATTATTTCAATGGTGTTAGCTTAGCTGCTAACAAAGTTCTTGTGTCAGTACGGGCTCCGATTAGCTGAAGGATTTCGTCACATGGCACTACATACAGACTTACTACTACATGGCCAGCCACGTCGCAGGTCTTCGTGAGGCCCACTGTCACTACTAAATATCTGTTCAGGATTCTTGTTGTATTATGGAGATCCGGGAGACGTGATCACATATAGCGACTGGGGATATACGTTTTTGATTATCACAGAAGTAATACTGATGGTAGCAGGTAATGGTCCTTTGATTTTAACGACACAGCTGAAAATATTTGGACGCTACATAGCAATCAGGTAACTAGCTTTTCTGCGATTTAGGAATGACAGAGACTCACATTCTGCCACATAGGGTGGCTGTTGTTTTGGATCGTAAAAATGCATTTTGGGGTAACGAAGACTGTAGGTGGATTTAAACATATAGAGCCTGAAAATGGGTTTTGTTTGTAGGTAGATGCCGGGCCTTTTCTCAACAAAAAGCTTTTCTTTTGAAATACTTTTCGAAGACAAAATCTACCGTTCGTATTTGTTTTCATGAGTGGATCGTCTCTTTGTCGCCCTCTGCTTTGTGCCAGAGCTGTTTGTGAGCATAGGCACATGTGTGCCAATTGTTTTATGCTGATGGCAATGGTCATAGTACTTTACTGTCGAGCCTTGGTCACATCACTTAAGCTGTTTGCATATCAGATTCAACTTCTATAAGAAATCTTATCCCGTCTCTCGCCACTGAATATTTTAGAACTTTACCAGAACTCCCTGACTTTCCCATTATCGCATAATATACAGATTCCTTAGTTCCTCTATGCCTTGCCATCCCAATGTTTTCTATTTCAGTGGCTCAGAAAACTGTGTACCTAAGGTACCTAAACGTCGGAAATCTCCAGAAATTCCTCCTCCCAGTGTCCTAGGTACTTGTTTTTATTTCTTGAAAAGTAGAATTCAACCGTTGGGCCTGGGCATTAGAACAGAAACGACGGCAGTCGGAAAGCCAGCATTCCACCTCCCAGGATCAAGTGTCTCCTGATGTAGAAGGTCAGAATTCTCATACTTATAAGTCCCTATCCTCTGCTATCATTCGTTATGCCAAGTACACACTTTGTTTGTTGTTTAGCCGTCTGCTGTGAATTTTTATTTTGCTTATTGTTAAATAATATCTCACACATTTAGGTGGCGGACAGTCGATACCCATGTTATCAGATGCTTCGCCTCAACCACCCCCTCCGCCTGTTGCCAAAGACCGAAAATCTGCGTTAACGATCGCACTGGAAAATGCGCTTGCCAGTGGGAGCGAGTGTAATACCAATCGTTTTGTTGATTTTGCTATCTTCGACGGCCGCTCCGCTACCGGTGGTTTGGAAATAGAGCCAACAATCAAGGCCAGGCCGCAGCGACAACGTCCCATCACAATATGGTTTTGGCGTGTCACTGGACTTCCAAAAGTGAGCATTTCTGTACAGCCCTCCTCCAACTGCACCGTTCGCGGCGTTGTCGGTCTGGCTTTGTGGCAGTACTTCAACGAGAATCCATCAGAAACCGGCAGCTTTAATGCTAAATACAGTCACATCAAAGACGCGGAGTAGGTTTTTCGTCGCGTGACCTGTCTTGAAACAGGCGTTTCTAATTTATTCGTTTGGGCCTGAACCAATTCCCCTAAACATCCTTATGTGATTTTTTGGTTTTGTTTTAGAGAAATCGTGGATCAGATATCAGTCTACATGTTTGACACTGAGGACGATCTCGAGGCCGACTTCCCTCCTCTCAAACCTTCCGACCCTATGCATAAGTACGAGTTCGACTCGCTTGCCCTGGTTGACCGCGACATGAACAAGTCATTAAGCAAAGATGGCAGCGAACCCCTGGTGTTTGTAACTGTGTATGTACTTTTATATGAACACCCCAAACTCATTTTTGCATGCATTTTCTGTTCTCATTTAACTTGAGGGAGACTCATTATCTCCGATTGGCACTCGGTCTAGGAACTCCTTATGCTCATGACTGGTTCAGGTACTACACACTTCCTTTGCAATGTTAAACTGTGCTTCTCTACACGCATCCACACTGCCGAAATTGCCTGATAATTATATTTTTAAAAAAAATCGAACTCAGGCACTTGGCTCAAGGTATCAGTCTTCTCCGATTTCCCGTCAGTGCGACACTGCAGATAGTTATGGATTCTGCCATCAAACGTCGACAGTTGCGTCAGCATGTTGGTTATGCCTACAGACTCGAACGCTGGATAGATCCAACCGAACCAAGTGACAGTGCAGGGGTTCCGCCTACTTCACGTGAACCTTTGGACTTGACTCTGCGTCTTTCAGACTGTCAGGAACAAGATCTGCCTTTGCGATTTGTCCTTATTCGCGAACACAGTAAGCGAGCCGGTCAATCCTTTCACATTTTATCCATCTAATTGGTTTTTCCCGAATCTTCACTCCTTAGTTTATATCTGCGCTGCCATAAATTTTGTCTACCCTAGCTAACTCGAAGGAATTCCTAGGTAAAGTTTTTTGAACACATTGCATTTAATTTCGTTAGTCTTTTAAAAATCTTCGGATCTTCTCTTCATCCACTCGCTTAAGCTTATTTTCCTTGACGTGACTAATTTGCGTTTGCCTATCCACCATCTATTTTACCTTACCAAAGATTTACGGTTTGAGTGTTTCGAATAAACCGAAATACAGTTGGATGGAAGACAATATTTGAGAAGGTAGTGTAAGTGGGCTCGTTTTCTTTTTGGCTCAGCTGTTACCTGTAAAGTTTTCTTCTTCTACCCTTACCTCTGCCATTCTACGTTATGCCATGCATGTGGCCGTAGTACAACAAAGAGGTGTTTTATATTAGTCAGACCAAGATTACCTAATTGTCCTCCTGCTATTGGTGTACCCTTACCACTGACTATTTCTTTGCACTCTACCCTGTGTGCCGTCTAGGTCGATACGATCCCGCCGTCGATGACTCTGATGACGCAAATTCGCTTTCACCGTCTGGTGCTGGTGGTGCTGATCTTCCATCGTTAGTTCTGCAGTCAAGAAAGTATCGAGCATCTCAACTGCGAGACCTATCTACTCGCGAAGTACAGCTAAGTAAGTATACATATATTTCACCTATGTACGCCTTTCATGGAGTGTTATTAAAACTAATATAGACCTTTCTATTTGACTAATGCTAACCGTGTTCCTGATATTAAAAAATCCAGTTTATCTCAAAAATTTCCTGGCATGTCTCGCTACTTTCAATTGTTTTCTTTCCTTCCAGTTGTTTCTCCGGACCGCTTGGAATTGCAGCCTTCACGTCGTCCCAAACTCTTTCGAGGTTCCAAGTCCCTCTCCATACCCATGGACAATGTCCTGGAATGTTCCACTCCTCTTACCTCCACTGAGACTGCTGACCAGCCGCTAAAGAAAGTTCGTTTCGCCATCACTTACCTAGTGAGTCAGCGTCTCCATAAATTTCACGAACTTATTTGTTGCGCATACAAAAGATCCTGGCGTACTTTAATGGGAGTGACGGTGAAAGCAAGACTTTACGATTTCTGAGAATTTAGGAGTTGATCTCTCATAGACCTGGAGGTACTTCAAACCCCCCACCCACTCAGAGGGAGGTTAATAAACGCTGCGCGAAAAAATTCATGTTTACCTGCTCAAAATTTAAGGATTTACCATACAATCAATCAAATGGCTTTGCTTAACTTATCTACTTTCTGTTTATTCGTACCACCCCTAAGCCCAGTGCCTTAAACTATGTCAGATGGAAAAACGAACAAGATGGCATGGATAAAGAGTAAAAAGGACCTGACTTTGCCGTTTAGCAGGATAAGACGGGGCCACCATCATTTGAAAGAAGGCATCCTTAAACCCACCGTCTTGGAATATGTTATCCCCCCACGCGCTCTGTTGATTTTCATCAAAATTAAAATCCCTTTAATCATTCTTTTCCTTCGCTCATCTGGCTGTGCATTTGTTGGGAGGCTATATACTCCACCCGAACGATAATTTCCTTTTTATGTTTTGCTTATTAGGCTAGTGGCAGCAATGTCATCCGGTCATAGTCCTTTTGCTTGTCCAATGCGCGTAGGTCGCTGTGCTCGTATAAGTTGGGATATTTCACAGCTTTGTGTTGCTGGATTGTGAGTGATGAATCCTGCTCATAAGAAGGTTTAAATATTTAAGACTTCTTTTCATAGCCGCACTAAACGTGGTTCATTTAGTAGCCCTCTACTTCCTAGTCTGCTATTAAAGTCTGGCTCATTGTTGGAGTTTCTGCAGGCC